TATATCTCCCATTCCTTGTATTATTACTAGATATTTCAAATACTTGTAACATATTGTATTTTCTATATATATTATCTCTAAAATTTCTTTTTATTGGTGTTCTATTTCTCAAGAATGATCCAAAATTGATGAACTAATTCATAATAAAAAAATTTTATACAATAAATATATTTGCTTTTTATATATACTTTATTAAATTTAAAAAGATTATTTTTTTTATAGTATTAATATGTATAAATTATATCATAAATAACCTTATGCAAATTAAATATAAAAAGGGCTATTACCAATGTTACAGCAATTGTAATGAAAATACGAATGGTTATGTTAGATTTCTCAAATAAAAGTAATATATTTGGTGCCATGTTTTCACATTTTTCATTTTGCATTTGTGATTTATATCTATCTATTAAATTTTTTAACGCATTACAAAAATCTTTGTGGTTGTTGGATTTACGTACATTATCGTATTTAATATATATATCAGAGCATTCCTTTGCACACTTGTATTTATTTCCTTCACTTTATTTTTTATCCTCTTCCATATTTTTAATTTTTTTATTCATGTCATATATATATATGATTTTATCCAATACATGCTCGGTTATTTTTGCCTTATAGTATTCGCATATATGATTTTCTAATAATTTAAATGCGTCAATAAATCCACCATAAATTTTTATAATATCTTTTTTATTCCTTTGATGAAGGACATCATATATCCAATAATACAAATATGTACAAACTATATCATTATTTTTGTGATCATTCAAATAATTTAAAACATTGCAGCATGCATTAGAAAAGTTAGTATCAGGAATATTTCAATGTTCCGCATTAAATCTTCCACAATAAGACGTCTAGAATTCACAATTATTTCCATCTCCTAATTTTTTCCAATCAGATAATTTGTAATCTTCCTCTTCATATAAGTTGATATGTCTATATTATGAAAAAAAAAAAAATGATAATTCAAAATCATCTTGAATAGTATATGCAAAAATGATATATGAAAATAAATTAAGAAAGTAAAATTGTAACTTAAAAGAGTAATAATTATAAAATAAAGAAATACAAAAGTACAATATTTTTATGTTCCATAGTAAACATTTTATATGATGATTTATATTTTGAAAGAGACAAATAATTTTCTTTGTAAATAAATATATAAATAAAAGAAATAGATAGTTCTAGAATATATAATAAGTATATTTTTTCTATAAATGAGTAACTATATTTGATGAATATCTGTTTTTAATGTTATAAAATTTCGTATATTTTTTTGTGATATGCTGCATTACAAATTATATGTGTCACTTTATTTTTTTAGTTCATATATTTCATATGTATACATTTACATATTCTTTGTGAATAATCCATACAAAATTAGATTTTAAATGATGTATATAATAGTACTACATATTTTTGATATTTTATAATATTATAACACATATATTTATAATATATAAGTTATTTTGTTTATAAATATTATTTCTTAATTAGTTTGCAGAAGACATATATTCACATAAGCAAGCAAGTTTCATTTTATAGAAACTTTTTTAATATATATAAAATATAAATTACATTACTTATAATTTTTAGTGCTCTTCGTAAATTGTAAAATAGAAAATATAAATAAATATAATGAAGATCTTTTTAATATTTTATCACATTTTATGTTAAATGTCATGCACATAAATAAATTTACTAATTATGCATGGTTCTATATACTTACAAGACTAATATATGACATTAATTAATTTACATTAAAAATTATTTCGATAAAGTAATATTATAACAAATAGTAATTAACATAATTCAGGTTTATTTCATTATTACGTTATATATTTTACAAATATGCAATGTTATTATATTAAAATGGGAATGTTATTACACTTAATAATATGCTTTAATTCATAATATAATGAGAACGCTTAATTAAAAGTAACTATGTGTATTGTAGAAATAATAAAATATTATGATTATAGTTTAATCGTAATTTATTATTAAAAGGATAGATTTATATTTTTATATATTTTTAAATGAAATGGACCAATAAAAGAATGTTATTAATATATACGTATTCACATTTTTCATGTTTTTATTATTCATTAAAAAATTTATTTTTCATTATATATATTTATAATTTTATTATTAAATCACAATTCTCAATTTATTAATTATTGTAATTTATTTTATATTAATGTCGCTATTTAAATATAATTTTTTTTCATATAAATATACTTTCATATTTATATTTAGGAAATATATTAAATTATTATAATAATTATTTCAATATTTACAGAATTAATATTTTATATCTTTAATATCGTAATGTGATTTTTTTAATATATATAAATTCAAAATTATGAATGCAATATATATATGTATTTATATACAACATAAGCACAAAATAAAATTTCATTTTTACATTTTTCTAATAAATCTACTAACAAAAATATATAAACATATTTTAATTGAATTATTCATCATGTGGTTGTTTGTGGTATTAATGAATAATTAATGTTATAATTTCTTTTATTTATTCAAAATCATTCAATAATAAGATCTAAATGCATGAAGAATATTTATCACATATAGTATGTGGAAAATATTTAGATAATTACAATTATAACAATCATAATAATATTGTTAATGCATTTGGTATAATAAATGTATAAATAATAAATCATTATATGTAATATTAAGGAAATTTATTTTAATAATGTATTACATACAACGAATGAATGAAATAATATTCTTGTCAGCCTTATGTATAAATTTATATTTCTATTGTAATGGGTTTATAATTCATTTAGTTATAAGTACAACTGTAAGAATGATATAAGTTTATATATAAAATAATATTAAAAATAATTTGTTGTCGTAATTAGTCCTGTAATTCCATTTACTAATATAACAGTAGATGCAATATTAATGTATTATTAATGATAATGTACTTATAAAATTATGAGAAGATCAATTATATTGTTAGTAATAATTTTACGAATATTTACTAAATGTAGAATAAAATTTAAATATTTTCTTATGGAAACCATTTTTTAATTTATAACATCAGTTTATAAATTATTAAACTAATAACACACATATTTGAGTAATCTTACTGGTTTTATAATAATAAAAATATACAGATGTTATAAGGCATTTGATTTTATTTGTTCTATTAATCAGTAGGAGTATCTGATTGCTATCCTTGAATGTATTAAATTTTGTAAAATTAATATAAAAATAATGATACTTATATAAATAAGTATATATATGGAATAATGCTGAATATCTAGAAGTAGTATTACACAATTCAATAAAATATAGTCCTTTGAGAAACTTTAGAATATGACTTAATTTTATTTTGATGGTTTTAGCAAGTTCAGCTATCAAAAAATATAATAGATTACGCGAAATTTCATTAATTCTGAAACAGTAGTCGTAATAAAATTGGTTTAATGTTGTTTTATGTTTCTATAAAATCAATTCCATATTGAAGAAATATCATTTAAATTTCTAATAAATTATATATAATCTTCTGTGGAAATTGTTGATATATCTATATTATTTATGTTTTTTCTAACTCTAATTACATTTTACATAATTCATATTAAATAGAAGTAAATAACTATTCTGTTTATAATATATTTACCCTTTAATATATTTTATGCATTTCAACCTTTATAATTAAATTTCACATTTTCATAACATATTCACTTTATTATTTCATAATTTTCATGTTTCTTTAAAATATGCTTTAATTAGAAGTTATTGCATTATGAATGTATCCCAATAGCAGATTTATTTGTGTATTTCTTTAATTTTATTATTAATAGTTTGAAAAGAATTATAATTATTTTTTAATGGTTTATCTTTGCAGAAATTGTTTCTATACTCTGTTTATATAGAGATATAATTCTTCATTCATACTCAATTCACAATTGGATATTTACTGGTGTTTTATTTTTTACAAATATTGTAGTCATTTGAAATTGCTTAATTGTGTAATATAAATATATATTTTTTTGACAATATAAGATATTTTTATTTAGTTTAAGGTAAATCGGACAAAGAATGCATTTCAAATATGCTTTAAAAATTTTTCAATATATGATAGTTTTATATTTAAAATAAAACTCTAAGAAGGAAAAAGGTTAATCAGAATTCATACTGAATCGAAATATACGTACATTTACTTATAAAGAAGTACTTTAGTTTAAAAAATTTTAAAAAAATTTCACGACACAAGTAAATGAACGAAGCAGATCAATAAAATATACACTTTTGCATTTTTTTATTCGTATTACTATGCTGTAATTAAAACTACAGAACAAATTGTTTATATTTATAAATTTTAAAAACATAGTCTTAATGTTTTACCATAATTTAAAACAAAAAAATAATTAAATAAAAATTCAGAACACAAAAGTATTGGTTAACAAGTACTTAATGTTTAAAAAAAACTGTTTTATGTATTTTTTTAAAAACATATATTCATAATTTTTTTTAATATTCAAAATAGCTATATGCAAATTTGATTTTTTTTTCTCTTGTAAGTGAAGGTCCATATAGTATCCTCATCAACTTTTCATTCATTTTCGTTCGTTTTTTTATCTTTCGCTTTTTAAAGAGCACTCCTAAAGGGTTGTACTAAAAAGTATAAAAATATTATAAAATGGAAATTTCATTGATATAAATAATTAAAAATATGTGCATAATTCTTTTATTGCATCACATTTTTGTTTACCTTTTTATGTATTATCAGTAACAAAAAAATTAACAAGGGCACTAAAGCCACTGTGATATATATTTTATATGATATCCAGTTCTCACTTTTACTGGATTCACCTTGTACAGTACCATTACCAGTGACATTTGTAATCTCTATAGGTGCAGCTACAATTAAACCTTTTTCATTTTCTACTGCATGATTTCCAAAATATCCCCCAATGCAATGAGTGTCTGAAATTTTATTAAATATTTTAGAATGTGTGTTATAATTTATTACAATAGTGAGTGAAAGTTATTATTAAGATATACACGATCATGTGTAATTCCAGGTGATATATCATTTTGAATAATTTTCTATTCATTAGCTCCATTGCCATAGTTACCTTGATCATTAGTACCTTCTACATTATCACTTATAGTCATAATCTTATCCGGATGAGTACCTTCACTACCAGAAATGCTTAGACCTGCAGATACATCATTAACATTTTCAAATTAAGAACTATTTTTAACAGGAGATAAGTTATTATTAACTGCACGATTAGAAGATGCGCTATTCATACTTGTGAACACTTTCTCTACATAAATACTTTGGAGATGATTGTTAACACTTTTATGAGAATATATAATACTGAGTAGTGCAAAAACAAATGTTTTGTAAAAAAATTGTACAGCATTAGAGATTTCTTTAACAGTCTTATAACATTTTTTTCCACTGATTTTCTTAGCATTACCTTGAGGAGCTTGTGCATTACTTGGAATGATATCCTTATCTAAATCACCTTCTTCTTGTGTACCATCTGAATCAATGTCCTGACCAGAGATTATTTGTACATGCTCCGCATCTCCATAGGTGTTTATTACTTCAGTTAACGATTCATCTGAAACAGAAAAAGATGCTGGTGGAATTTGTGTTTTTATAGGTGTAGTAGAACCTTTATTAATTATTGATGAAAATGTTTCAAACTTATGCTTATCTAAATTAGGTGTATTCAATGTTCCCTGTTGTTTATTACCTGTATCTTCATATTCTGCTCTTAATTCACTCGAGGATATATGTTTTTCATCGCCTTCTGGGGATCCATACCTTTCTGGAGCTTTTAGTTTGGAGGAAACTTTCTCTTCATTACAACATGTCATATTGCCACTCTTTTCACATTTACCATCACATCTTTTGCAGTAATTCCTTAACTGTTGTTCTACATCTGATTCAGCAAAGGGAGAGGTTTCTTGAAGACACGAACGTTTTAATTTGTATATATTTTCATATATTTTTTCGCATTCTTTACATAGCTCTTTGCAGTCCTTTTTATCAAAATTACTATATTCATCTATAATTTGTACTAAATATTTTACATATTCATCGTAGCAAACCTCAGACCTAGGACGATGTTTATCACCAAAGAAAACAACAGCTACATGCCCCGTTTTCGCCATCTAATTTTTATTATAGTTTTAACTCACTTATACTTTGTTTAAAAAAATAATACTAGAAAATAAATCATACATATGAATAGTTATATTTGTGTACTGGAATTTAATATTTTTGTATCATTACGTTTTATTAATAAAATTATGGAAGTACAAATATTTATATTGACAAATGATATAATATAATTTCTATAAGATATCATTAGGATACTTTGAAATCAAATACATGAACAATTTGAAGTAATAATATTTGGATACATAATTATTTATACGCATAACAGGAAAACAGTTGAATTCGTAAATATATGTTTAATGAATATGTATTATTGTTACACATTAAATCCATATAGTATATAAGGAGGTATTAGAAAAATGGAATTATGGATATTATAATGGTAATAAAATAACATAGGAATTTAAAGTTTATAAACATTGAACACAAAAAAAAATTAATGCATTAATTGTAAAAGTTTTCATTTATGTGGCACAAAAATTAAATAAGACCTGTTCTAGATATTTATTTACATATCCTTGTTTTTTTATATTAATAATAAGACCCATTATATATTTAACATTTTCTATATGTGTTCATATAAATACATCTCTTGTTTATAGTTTAAATTATTTTTTATAAACAATGGTACTATTAAAAGAATGTGTTGTTATAATTTCGTTTTAAATAAAACATTCGATACTTACACATTTGTTTCATTATTATTATGTTGATATATTTTGAATCCTATAATGCCGTATATAAAGACAAGTAATATATAATGAATAAATTATAAGAAGTTTTATATTATTATCGCAAAAACTATTTATAATTAAAATTCTAATATATAATAAATATAATGAATTAGAAACGGTGTATTCAAAATACATAGATCTACAATATTCCTTAGTGTATATTCTTTATTTAATTTTCTATAAATATCATACCAGTTACATATGTCTTCCCTTCACATATCTACATATTTATATTTTGAGAATCATTAATTTTATTTAGGATATAATTAAAATGTTATAATGTTGATGAATTAAAACAAGTATTAATATAATTAAAATTAATAAATAAATTTATAAATACGCTATAAAATTTTTTTTAAATTACTAACATATCTATGGAGAATTTTTTTATATATTCAACAAATAAAAAATATATAATAAATATTATACATTAATCTCCTAGAGAACGATAATATTATATGTGCCACATATAATGATGATAGACAAAATCAGTTCGTCCTATTCTATTCTAATAATATTGTTGTAATGTTTGCATTCAATAAGTAAAAAATAAATGTTTATTAATTGTTCTTGTTCTAAATAGAAACATTGTTATATTTTCTTAAACTAACAATTTATTAATTTTTTTGTTGGATATAAATTTTTTACATTTAGTTGATATATAATAAATATAGGCTATATATGAAATATTTAAGAAAAATATTTTTAAAAATATATATTTAAAATTAAGTATAATTTAATTAGGTAGTTCATTAAAAGTGCATATTATAGTTTTTTTATATTGTCATTTGTATGTCGTATAGAATCCTTTTAATTTAAGGTTATTACAATGGTTTTCCTACTAATAAATAATAATAAAGTTAAATTATAAAATCGTGATATGATTGTCTTATAGAACATTTTGTATAGTTTAAAAATATCTTAACCTGGACCATTTGTTATTGGGATGAGGTAAAATGGCTGTTATTTAAATCCAATGACTTTACTATTTTCTTCTTTATTATACTGTTAATAAGATTAATTCCTTTTCCTTAGGTTTCTATAACTTGTATAACAAAATCTCTATATATAATAAATTTCTCAAAAGGAATATAATATTTTAATTTTCATGTGTTATGTGTGTAGAGGAATAATAATAACTTCTTCATTATTTAGTCTTAGTTTTCATTAAATATAATACAGTATATTATTAATAATTCATTATTTTAGCTTTTCACATGTATTCATTATATATTTAGAGATGTGAATATATTCCTTTTATATTTATATCACTGCTATTAGTTAAATTTAACCAAGTGTATTTATTACCCTAATGGAGAAACAAATACTTCAATTTTTTAGGTACCCTTTTAGATTTGTTCTATGTTTTGAGTGTTTTACATGTGCTTCTATTAATTTTAAAAGTTTATGGTCTTTTTAGATATTATATTTTACTTGCTTCTAAAATTGTTTTAATTTAAGAGAATCTGATCACTTTTAATATCGTTTATAAGTATTTCAAATAAGAAATTTTATTTATAAGTTTATTTATCGCTTTATATGTCGAGGTACAATGTTTTTTTCATACTCTTCTTAATATAATTAATGGTTTACTAAACATTAAAGAAAATATCTTGTAATTCACAATACAAAAAATAATTTTATTGTGTTGAGCTATTCCAAATATATTAACAGTTATTATTTAATTTTCGGGATACTTTTGGAAAAAACCTTTTTTTTCCTTATAAAATTTGATTGTTTTAAATCATTTTAATGTATTATGTGCGCATTATATTGAAGGAATGCCAATATTTTGTAAAATGTTGATTTAGTTACTTCACATTAATTATAATGATTTCATTTTTGTTTTTTCATTATTATTTTGGTTATTCGCACTATAAGCTCATTAGTGTTAAAAGGTAAAAAATTATCAAACTAAAGCGGAGTAGATTAATATGCAAGAATAAATAAACGCAAAAACATCCAAATGTTAAGGGATATTTGAATAACAGAATGTGCAAACAAATGCAAAAACATTTTTTTGCTTCATATTAAAGATAAATTTGATTTACACTATAAATATAATGGAGAAAAATAGAATAAAATATCACTTCAAATTTTATTTCTGTTCACTTGGGCGAGGTCAAAAAAAGAGGAAACAATTTTTTTATATGTAATAATAATTACAGTTATTATTTTTTTAAAGAAAGTTATTAATTGTACGCTCAATTTGTATTACATAATGCTAAAATGTTTTTAAAATGCTCTAGCATAATTATTTTATATTGTTTTTTATTAAAACAATAAAATGCGCGTTCTTATTACACTCTCAGTTTAATAAAGGAAATATAATAAATACATTGTTTATTATTTTTTAAAAAATAATATATTTATAGTTCTATGGTTATTTGAAAAAGAAATAAATTAAATATTTAGAAAAACATGCAAGATGTGTTTTATTTTTCAATAAAATTAAGTTCCTTTTAAGCGAATATATAAAAGATTTTATATCACAGTAACCTTCAAAGAACAATTCTTTTTAGTGTAAAATTGCTTTTTAATTTTTTTGTAATTATAAATTAAATAAAATACCATTTTTTTTCAAATTATTTATCGAAAAAAATTATTTTATATGTATGCAGAAAAATACTAATATTTAAGAGTTTATTTATCATATGTCAAAATATGGGTCCTGGAACGAAACACTTTTTTCTAGTACACGAATTTTATGAGCACAGAGATTTTACTATTAATTATGAAATTCAAAATATTGAATAACACATCCATAGATTTTATAACAGTTTGTGACAAAATTTTGGCCATTCATACGGGAAACGAAAATAAAATAACATATATAAAGTTTATTATTTTATGTTGTGTTTGTATGTCTTAGTGACACCAAAATTTTAACGCCTCTGTTTTGATAAATGTATAATTAAATAATTGACATTAATAACGTTTGAAATGGAATAATAGAATAATAATGAGATATTCTTTTTTAGGGGAAAAATGAAAATATAAATTATATACTGAATGTATACTTATTATTATAAGAAGCCTTTTTAATAGACGATATTTTAAAAGATACAAATATTCATTAAAGACATGTATAAGTTACATATTGTACAGAGGGAAAATGGCAATGGTTTGATATATTGTATATTATGTACAGCTTTATATGACACTCTGTTGTAATTATATATATGCAGAAGAATAATTTACCCAATAAATTCATGAATAATTAAAAAATTTCATTTTATATGGTGTAATAAAACAATAGAAAAGCTTGATTTTAGTTAAATAATATTTTTCCTTATAATTCATATCTTTCTTTTTATAAAAAATTTAAAGTGATGAATATCTTATGAGTATATTATATATTATTACATACAATTAACAAATAAGCACCAATATACGAACATCATTATTTCATATAGTTAGCATATATAAAAATGAGGTGGTAACAATAAATAGTATAGGTAGGATATGTTCATGGTTTTAATGTGTAGATAGACAAGTATATCAATATTTTTTGTAATTTGAAAAATAGTAAGGGACTCTATTTCATAAGGAAGAATAAATTTATTTAGTACAATTTATATTTCGTAAACAATTAACCTTTTGAAAAAATTTCAAGTTTACTATCCTTTAAAAAATATGAAATGTTTGGTAAATTGCATATCATAAATTATAATTTCATTCATAGAATAATTTAGAAAATATTGTCAAAGAGGATAAGAGAATTTGTAAAAATGATTGTAAATACTTTAGTAAAATTGTCAGTTAAACATAGAAATTAACGCAACAAATGAATGTTAATCGTTACGAACAAGTTACAAGATAAATTAAGGAAAAAGTATTATAAAAGGAAAGAACTGAAAAACGAATATGCTAGGTATAAAGCTGTTAAATGAGCATTACTATTATTTGAAAATTATTCTAATGTAGGAATGTGTTGATGTTATATGCCAGAAACCCCTAATCAAATGGAAAGAACAGAAAAATTTACATGATAATATTGGATAATATAAATATACGAAAAGAAATAGTTTTGATAAAAAGTATTGGAAAATGTATTTAAAATTTTATACACATATTAAATTTATTTACATGAAGAATTATGGTGTTTCCGGAACTAGTTGCATATATGAAAATGTTAAATAAAATTAGGAACTTTATTTTTAATTCTAAAGAAAATTTTGACCCAAGTGTTTTTTTAAACATTTTAAATCTATGTAAGGAGTTAAGTTGAGATTAATGTGAAGCAATTCTGGGTGAAGGAATACAGAAACATGGAGCACATGGAGTATCAAATCAAAATGTTTGTATCATAGAGTCATAATAACAAACCTAGCGTGATTGAACTGCCCCATATTATATATTAAGTGAATCAATAAGTAATAATTCGAATATTATAGCAACACGTCGTAATATATTAATCCAGTATCATTCATATCGTTTTGTCGTAGTTGCGTCA